CATGCAACCTTAACTTAATAAAATCTGCTGTTATGTGAACGCCTGCGTGCTCGATCGCACAGTTTCAAATTTGTCCGTAAACCAGCCAACATCAGACTTCCTATAAATTATTGACTTAATTTGAAACCACTTCTATCCAATTTTTAATATCGAGAATCTGATTGATATAGATCTCCATCGATTCACAATTATCCAACCTTAAGGATATTAGTTTACGCAATAAACCAACGAGCAACGCCTCTATCTTCATATAACTTCTTAAGGGTAATTCACACCCCTGCAGCCAGATATGAATTCAAATTCAAAATCATTTTTGCTTTAGCTTTGCTTGTCTAAACTTGTTCTGTGTTATCGAGGCACTTCGTAATATGGGCAATAACAACCTGGAGGACAAATTCTGACATCGGATTCGGTGCGTCAAAATACATAGGAAAGCATATGTCGCATGCCCAGATCACGACACTTTTTTTGTGTGGCTGTGTTTTTATTTCTTGTTTTTTAGTTAATTAAAAAAAATTGTGCACCACTCTTGGAAAGATATTGCAGCTGTTTTGGGGAAACCGGATATAAATTCTCGTAAAATATACTTTTTAAAATACAATTTTCACTCTTATAATGTACAATAAGTGCCTTTCACTATTTATTTGTATTAGTTTTAGAACATTCTTGTTTCTTTATTTATAAAAAGTATTAATTATGTATAAAGTTTGATAAACGCCATTTAAGTCACGAATTTAATTAAGGTAGAAGCGAGCTAGTGCTTAATTAATCGAGTTTCATAGAAAAGTTAATAAACGAGTTGCATACTATACTTTTTCTACGACAAAAACTTATTATCTAAAAATTATTTAATTTAAATATTTTTGTAGAACAACATCTAAAAAACAACAGACTAACCATTCTTGGGAATCTGTATTACTGGCGCGCCGGTAAAAATGTGTAATTTTCATGTGTAAATCTAAATGTATCCCTTTAAAATGGACCGTTCAAATACGATATCGAAGCAGTTTTTTATAGTGAAAGTAAACATGTTTTATGAGCACTCTACGGTGAAGTCCTTACCCAAAATTAAGTTAAATCTAGGTTACTGCCGAAATTAAAAGGTCACAAACTTATCAAATATTGGCGTTAAGAAACTATTTAATACTTTTGTATTTTTGTATTAAGATAATAAAATAGTTTTTATATTTAGGATTATTTTACAAAATGACACTTTATTTTTTATTGTATGACGTTTGACAATTGTCAAATAACTAACTTTAGCCTGTGACTAAAACGCCATAGCCACAACTTGTCAATGTGTATTTAAAAGGTCACTTAGTGTCATGGAATTGTACAATTATGGGCGTTTTAAGGTGGGAGTAGAAAAAAGAAACTAACGTTAAGTTGCAATATTTAAATACATTATATATTTCATGTAAAGAAGGTTTTGCTATATAATTGTGCCAATATTTTTTCATGGGAATTTTTACCCAATACTCAGTGAGTCAAAGTTAACAACTAAAACGTCGCCTAAATAACGATTTTGTAAGCGATGACAAAGTAACACTGATTTCGGGGTAACTTCGGGGGTAGGGGTAGCATTGAAATTTAACATAGTTGAGATTTATAACGAAAAGCGTTACAAACTTATCAAACAAAATATGCGAATACCATGGCAAAGTATACCCGGTAATGGTAATGTATTAATAATAAATTATAAAATTTTGTGAAAAAATATTCTTTCAACATTAAATTTTTTTATTTTTTTGATTATGTCACCCTGTCATAATACACAGTGTGTATTACACACCAAAAAGCCTCTTTTATATACGAATATTTTACCATTTAGACATCAGAACTCGAATTTCGATTCGAAAAAATATTTAAAAAATAATAAACTAAACCGCCAAATTATAAATCATTTTAAATACCTACTATTTAACTCTGTAATAAAGAAACTAATCTAAAACAAAGTTACACAGGACCCAATAAATATTAAGAGTTTTCTCTTTCAAAGTTAACCACTGAATAACTTATAACTTTAAAGGAAGAAAATGATAAGATCTATTTCGACCGGAATCCTTAAAACAGAGCAAGTGACCATTTCCTAGGTTTATTTAATATCAGGATTTTATAATATTTAACCATTACTATTTTATATAGATAGACATTTATGTATATGTATATGTAAACATTTTTATATTTGTAGAAAAATAATATATATTTTTTTGATATTCAGATATTTTCATAAAACTTTAATGCTATTTATGTATGTTAAAAAACGCATATTAAAATTTATATAATAGAAACTAAAATAAATTATTATATAAATTAAAATACTGGATGTTAATAGGTAATAAAAATATTATAATCGTCTTATAATTAAACTTATGATACTGTTGATTAAATACTATTATATCATTTATTAATTTTACACTTTTAACTTAATATTTTATACAAATTAAGTAATATGTTAAATCGGTTTAATATAAAATATTATTATATTTACAATATATCTAAATTATATTTTCATATTAAAATTTATCATAATATTTAGCTGTTACTATAAAGAAATATATTTCTAATATCATTTATTATATTTTTGCCTCAGTATGGTACTAAATGAGTCATTATATGTAGACACATTCAAATTCAGTAACTAGAGCCAACCTTCTTTATCTCTGACTAGAGCACCCTCACTAAGCGTAATTGTTAAGAAAGCTTTGTCCGAAAAATGCCTGACATGGCCTGTAATTAAAAATAATTTTCTTTACTTGTAAGAGATGGAATTTGAGAATAGTATATTACACTACAAGGGCAGAAAGTGTGAGATTCCTGCACTGCGCGCCATGGCCGAGGCGAAGCCGAGGGCATCATGGCGCGCAGTTCAGGGCTCTCACACTTTCTGCCCGTGTAGTGTATACTATTTTTCTTGCTACCCCGCAGAAAATACGGGAAAAAATTAAATGTATATAAAAAAACTTGTGTCAAAATTAAAATCTGACGTTTAATTTAATTCTGACGTTTACATTCAAAATCAATCAAACTGTAGCGTTGTCATGGTAATTCAGCAGTGCCAATACAGTAAAAATAAAAGGTTGTATTTTAATTAACAAATTACTACTTTATAACAAATAAAAGTACCATTAAACACTTAAAACAACATAAAAAGTAAAAAAGTAAAAACATAAATTGTTTATTTGTTGTTATAATTGCAAAATTATGGTTTAAAACTGTCATATTTTTGTGTTTCTCATGTTGGCAGTACGAAATTTGAATGTTAAGCACACGACTAAAAAATTTTTACTCCCGCTATTAGAGTGTGCGCGTATAGCAATGCAAGAAACGTAAACTTTCTGCCGTGAAATCGGGGACGAAACAACGTATTTTGAGTCGAGGTAGTAAGAAAAACTTTTTCCTTTCCAATAACTCCAAGAGGAAGCGTACAAATTGTCTGATGTTACATGGGAAGAATTTAAGGGTTTCTCGGATTTTTAATAAAGATCTTTTAAATTGTTCTTCTCACCTGTCTTATTTTTCTATGTGCCGAGAGATTCCGCAAGATTAAGCACCGAGTTTTTAATGGCCGGTTAAAAGTAAAAGAGAGCGGGCTGTCATGTATAAACGACTGACAGCACGAAACTGTACAATACAGAACATTGTATAAATATTCCTTGAAATATTAATAATTGTTGATGATCGCGCTCTCCAAATGAAAGCTATTACATGTAACAGAGGCATGATTAAGCCTAAGCGATTAAAATTAAAAATTACAAAATTTGTAATTTTTAATTTTATAAGTATGGGTTAAATTATATAAAAAATAAATATTAATCCATTGTAGCCTACAATACATTAATGAATACATAAAATAAATTTTTCAAAGCTTATTTCAATTTCTAATTTGTAAAACTAACTTTTACAATGGAATTGTTGTGTATCGTTTTAAACATCTCAAAACGCTTTTCTAAAAAAATTTACGCTGCTTTATAATCGATCTAGTCTATATAAACTACAGAAACATTACCAGACACTGACAGACAGCCTGTTTCGGTCTTATTAGACCTCACCAGGGCCGGATATCACGCTGAAAACACTCTGCCTTGGCCTTTTATAGGCAAACAAGTACAGCGACAGCGGTGAAATGTAATCAGTTACCGTCTAACCCCCATACGGACGTGGCATACGTGACACTTCATAGCGGGAGTATGATTTTTTACTCCCGATAAATTTTAATAAATGAGAGATCGTTTATAAAGGCGAGATCGATGACATTAATAATTATTCATGATGAAGTTATAGACCTTGTGGTTACAGAGACAAATAAATTCGCCATACAAACACAAGAAAAATTATCTAAGGATAAGAAACAAGTGGAGAAACACAAATGCTGAAGAAATAAAAAAAATAGGATTAACAATGTGGATAGGTCTAGTAAGGTTAATTAAGTAGACTGTCAGACTATAATAATTGGTCAAAAACGATTATTTCACGAAACCGATTTCAGCTGTTATTATCTATGATACATTTTTCGGATGATGAAAAAATTGTTAAAGGAGATCGACTTGGTAAAATACAATCTCTAGCAGATTTACTACAAACAAAATATCAAAAACTGTATTATCCTGGACAAGACATTGTAGTAAATGAAACTCATACCATGGCGAGGTCGCCTTTTGTTTGGGCAATACATTCTAAATAAAGCACACCGATATGGCATCAACCTATTTAAATTATGTTCCAGTGATGGATTTACCTGGTCTATGAAAATGTATCCTGCTAAATCTGCTGTAGATGTCAGAGAAAGAGGACTGGCGCAGAATGATTGCCTACAGCTAGCTAATATCTACTGAACCAAGGAACCAACCCTATACGTTGATAACTTTTACACTAGTTATTACCTCGCTAAATACTAATTGGAAAAAAAACTTTTAGTTGGAACAATAAGAACAAAAAAAAAAATATATTTCAACGGAAATACTGTCTGCAATACTAAAAAAGATACAAATGGTATCAAGGAAGACCAGAATGGCATTGTTGTGCTTTTGTGGAAGGATACCAGAGATGTGAGATTACTTTCAACAAAACATTCGCCAATCATAGTGCCAGTGAATCGGGCAATAAAAAAATTCAAATTTGCCACATGGACCAATTTCGATCAAAATGAGATAAGACCCACGACAAGCCAGAAAGAAACTGATCAATTACATCAAACCAATAAGAACAAAGATGACCTACCAACATCAATAAGAGAATAGATCCACAAGTCACAGAATGGATGACCAAAAACTTTCCACAAGTCAGAGAATAAATGACCCACTGCCAACCACAAGTCAGGAAAAAAACATCCAACCAGGTTAATCCAATAATAAATCCAAAGAAAATAAAAATCGAAAATATTAATCAGCAATAGAAAAGCCCATCGCGATTTTGGCTGGAATAGATTTGTCCGATCAAATGGCTTCTTATGTGTAATTCGTAAAGAAGTAAAGTGGTTGTTTAAACATAAATTAAACAGAAAATTCAGGTTTTAAATACATTATAAAAAATATTCATATAAAATTAATAATTTAAAAGTAATTTAATTTCATTTCAATTAATAAACAAATTATGTTTTTTATCACCCAGCAATATTAAAAATTCCATTATTGTTTATATCGCAATGTAATCAAATATTTACCAGTGGCGGCCCGTAACATTTCATTTTGGTGAGGCAGAGGCAGGGTTTCGCCCTCATTTAAAGGCGAAGACCCTGTTTTTCTCCAGACTACTTCATCAGAATTCGAAAATAAAAGGCAGGGCCAACAAAACAATTTTTTACGCAAAGGAGATCCCGTTAACCACGAACACTTTTCATACCAAGTATTAACAAAAGAACGACTAGTTTTACAAGGATTGAATTATAGATTAATTAAATCTGGACGAGGAACACCAAATTCCTTAACAAACATGTTATTATCGAAAGAAAGACGACTAAATGGAAAGTTCAAAAGAAAGTCAAGAATATCGGTACAATTTCTCACCGTAATATCCATGACTAAATTCACATAAATCACCAAGTTTAATTAACTAAACCCACAGAATAAACCACTTACAAAAGAATCATAAAATAGACAAACTCATAGAAAAAGAATAAACAAAATATTGCGTAAATAACCACAGATTTGTTCTTTAAACAGTTCAGAATTTTATAACCAAAACAAACCTAAAGAAGGAATCTGTATTTATTTTATTGGTTACTGTGATGGCTACAAGATGGCGATAGTGTTAAAATATGTTTATTTTAGAATAGAAATATAATTTCGATTAAATCGATTTATTATAAGAAAAATAATACCATTTATTATTGAATTTTGAAAAACGTGTGAAGTATAATTTATCTTAAATTCCGCAACAGTGTTGCCACAACACCTGCTTATTTTCTTGGATGTAGGCGTGCCTGCCTCGCGTATGCTAATACGAGAAAAGGAGACAACTATGATATCGCATTTTAATAGAACGAGACAACAAGACAACGCCAATCGTGAGTCTAAATTAGTTCAGGCATGCTTCTGAGCCAATCATCTAGTTATAAATATTAGTTTAAATTGCGGTCGTTTCAAATTCAAATAATTTAAATGTTGCTGGGTAGTATCAATTTTATTGACTATTTCACAATTCATGTAATCCAAATATTAAAAATTTATAGTATATTATAGAAAGTCAAATATTTCAATTATACTTCATTTTTTAATTCTCTATGATGAGGCACTGCTTCACCTGCCTCCCCTGACGGGCCGCCACTGATATGTACCTGTTCAAATATAATATTAAGCACTCGCTCGCAAGCTTGCTTCTACCTTAATTAAATTCGTGACTTTTTATAAATAAAGAAACAAGAATGTCTTAAAACTAATACAAATAAATAGTGGAAGGCACTTATTGTACATTATAAGAGTAAAAATTGTATTTTAAAGAGTATATTTTATTAGAAGTTATATCCGGTCTCCCCAAAACAGCTGCAATATCTTTTCAAGAGTGGTGCACAATTTTTTTTTAATTAACTAAAAAACAAGAAATAAAAACACAACCACACAAAAAAAGTGTCGTGATCTGGGCATGCGACATATGCTTTCCTATGGATTTTGACGCGCTGAATCCGAATCCGATGTCAGAATTTGTCCTCCAGGTCAGCGTTTCAACCTATCCTTAAAAAACGTGAAAAAGTTAGTATTTCCTGTTCTGGGGATGAGACATGTCGATTCTTATGTTTCTCGATGCACTGAATGTAAATAAGCTCTCAGAATCGATCGCACACGTTATTCTTTTGACTCTAACCTCGAAAAAACGCAATAAAATGATAGTAAATTGTGATATACTGCCTTGAAGGCTGTTTTTTTTTAAAGCCTATATCAGCAGAGTCTCATTCTTACAGTTGACGTAAACTAACTTTAACTCAATTAATCTAACCTAACCTCACCTGGCCTAATATAACCCTTATCTTCCATCGCATATATTTCAGATTATATTCCGTCAAAATGGTAAATTTTAACACAGAAATTATTGTTAGCAATGTCTGAAAATTTAAACTAACATTTATTTTTGCGTTATCATTTGTGAAGCTTACCTGATAACTTGAGTCTCAAACATTTTCATATTTCATTGTTACTTCGAGGAGGATTTTTTAAGTTGATTCTTTGGCAATCACAATAAGTATATATTAGGGTGCTTCAAAAAAATTTTTTTTCGCTCTTACCCTCTCAAATGTTTTTATTTAATATAAAGAAAATCCTCACCAAATATGGGCGTTCCAGCTCAACTCTAAGAGGTCGCTGTTTTTATTTTAGTTTCCCATTGAATTAACATGGGAAAAAATTAATTTATGTTTGGAATTTTATACCTCTGTATCAAAGTATCTTATGGCAATGATCATTGCAGTTTCTTATATAAAATTTAACGCTCTACAAAAAAGGTCTCTTTATCGAAAAATAATTTCTTCTAGAGTTATTCGAGGTCAAAGTTTGATTAACATCAAATTTACTGGTTTTTTTAATTTTATTGTACAATTAGCAGACGGAAGGTGAAAGGGGGCAAAAAAATGCAACGGTGGACAAAATGGGGTACCCAAAAAATTTCGTAAAAAAATATTTTTTTTAAATTGTTTTTTCTGGTTTCTAAATTATTTGAAAATTGACTCACAAGTTCACGCTTTTAATCGAAAATAATTATTCTGAGCCTGTAGAGCAAGAAAAAGGATGGTACAATTTTGGAAAACTTTTCATATGCTCATTTTTTGGATACCCCATTTCCCCCCCCCCCCCGCTGCCTTGTTTTGCCCCCTTCCACCTCCCGTCTGCTAATTATATCATAAAGTCATAAAGTTAAAAAAAAAACAGAAAATTTAATGTTAATCAAACTTTGACCTCGAATAACTCTAGAAGAAATCAATTTAACGAAAAATAATAAGAGACCTTTTTTGTAGAGCGTTAAATTTTATATAAGAAACTGCAATGATCATTTCAATAAGTTACAGAGGTATAAAATTCCAAACATAAATTAATTTTTTCCCATGTTAATTCAATGGGAAACTAAAATAAAAACAGCGACCTCTTAGAGTTGAGCTGGAACGCACATATTTGGTGAGGATTTTCTTTATATTAAATAAAAACATTTGAGAGGGTAAGAGCGAAAAAAAATTTTTTTTGAAGCACCCTAGTATATATAGGTTACAGTGTTTCCATTCTGAAGCTGTCAATGTTCTTAGCGTTGTAGTTTACTACCTGAAGCTCACAATTTCTTTTTTTATGTTTTGATAATTTCTAAGTTAACGACATCAAAAAAATTGATTGAATGTCTTCAGTCTGATTGCTTTCCACTATATCGTGTCCTTTACTCTTCGAAGGATCGATGCAAAGGGTTTCGCCTTCATTTTTCCCCTTTAAAATAGCTTTTCTTTTCAGCATCCAATAAAAATCAGCCATCATGACTTCATCCCATCTACCCTGATACCGTTGTTCCATGACTTGATGGAACCGTTCGCCTTGTTCTTCACTGTAGTCGCCAACATTGTCAGGAAACCTATCCAAATGTGAATCGAGGAAGTGTAATTTTAAATTCATTACCATCTTATTTACAATTTTTTTGTAGTCAGGACTTTTGTTGTTCCCCAAGAAATTCGTCACCACTGCCTTGAAGCTTTTCCAAGCGTTTTTTTTCGACGTTGGTCATCTGAGTAATAAAATTCGGGTCTTTGAATAGCGTTCTGATTTGTGGTCCATCAAATACACCTTGCATTAATTTAGCCTCTGATATTGATGGGAATTTTCGCCCTATGTATGTAAAGCATTTACCATCCTTATCCAAGGCTTTGACAAATTGCTTTATCAATCCAAGCTTAATGTGGAGGAGTGGAATCAAGACTTTCTGAGGATCAACCAGACGCTGGTTGATGATGTTGTGAGAACCGGGTTTAAAGGATTCTCTCTCAGGCCAATCTTTTTTGACATAATGGTTAGCACGATCTCTCCTATTCCAATTATTTTAAGATCTCCACAGATTAGCCATTTGTGACTCGGGTACTTTACTTACTATTCAAAAGCATTTTTACATTGTTATACCCCTCTTTCATCACTGTGAAGTGAGCGATTGGGATGGTAGCGTAAGAGTTGGTATTGTGTAGTAGAACTCCTTTTATGCTTCGTTTGGATGAATCAATGAAAAGTCTCTAGTCTTCATCTTTATATGAATCTTTTTTAATAGATCCATCAAGCTTTTCACGTCAGTGCAATAAAGCAGAGAGGTCTCTTTATCTTTTGGGAAGAATTTTCGGAATTCTTGGTCTCTATTACCATAAAAAGACTTTTGTGTTTGGCTCTAAAAAATTACTTTTCTTGAGAAAAGAAGCAGCATATTCTGCTCCAACTTTTGGTTGGCCAAGATCCCGAATAAAATCATTCAGTTCCAGCTGCGACAATAATAATGGAACTTTCGACTTTGTGTTATGTGCAACATAATCATCTTCTTTCTCGTCATTGCCATCTGTGTCATCGCTAATTTCTCCAGGTTGGTTGTTGACTTCCATGACATCATCTATTTCAACAGAACTCGAACTCCTTCGTGCCTTCGGATTTATTTCAGTTGGTCTTATTACTTTGAACACATTGATGTATGAGATTTTACTTTTTTTTACTGGTAGTCCCGGCTTTGAAGTCATTCATGCAAAAGTAGTAGTCTTTCATACGAAGCGGTTGTTTCCATATAGCTGTTGTGGAGAATCTGC